AAGTCTTAAAGCTAAATCCCTTGTTAATCTTGCGTTAATACTAATTTTCAGTCGTTAGTATCGTAAGATAACAGTATCTCATATAATATATAATGGAATCTTCTAAACTCCAAGTTTATCTTCACAAAGTTAAAGCTCATGATGAAGACCTTTCTAATAATGTGGCTGATTCATTACCTAAAGCTGGTCGTGACTTTATCTCCTTCCCTAATTCATACTCCTAAATTATCTCTGATTTTTACCTTCAATAATATTCCTATTGAATCTTCTATTCGTCAATTCTTCAAGAATTTTTTTCTCAGTTTCTAACTTTTCAGCCTTTTTAAATCTTAATAGGAATGATTACATTAAGACATATAGTGATTTTACTGGCCTCTTATTTGGCAATTCTTCACCCTTAACTTCTCTTTCTTATCAACATTTTTTGAAACTTCACGACTCAAATTCTTTATTATCAAAATCTTTGTCAATGAACTTACTACTCTCTCTTGATTGGAACAATTAAGACCTCCTCTCTATAAAAATTAGTATTGTGTTAGTTGTAATATTACCACTGAAACTTCTACTTATATGTAATATTGCTCAGCCTATTTCACACTTATCAACAATATCATCTCACAAACTAAGATCTTTTATTAACTGATTTGAAAAAAATGCTCCAACCCTAACTCATATTATAATACTTTATCTGAACTACTCTATTCCTATGATGAACTCTTTGTACCCTCCTTCTTCTCAACTTATGGATTCCTAAAAATTATCATGAATTCCTTAATCTTTTTCTTTAAAAATTTATATGATAATATACAGAAACATAGATGCAAACTTCTTATCGCTTATGAACTTTCAAAAGGCATTAATAAACAAATTAAATGCAAGCAAGATGTCTGCAAACATTTACTGCACTCTCTTAAAAAACCTTCATCTCTAATTTGAAAATCATGGATTCACAAGGTAAACAAATATAGTAACTCTTAGACAGATTTTTAGATAGGCATTGACTTTCTTCTTTTTCTTTTTCTGATAATAATAATAATAGTCATTAAATATGCATTTAGTGGGTCTATTGGAAGGAAAAGGCAATGATAAGTTGATTCAAACGGGTTTGAAATATAATTACAAGGAATAGCAAATAAGTAGGGTAAAAATGGGAGTTCTGAGACAAATTCAAAATAGTACTCAAAAAAAGATTTCTGACCACCTACAAATAAATTCTAGCTATATGAATCAAATTATTAAATTTAAACCTTTAGCGCGATTTGACTAAAATCTAGATAATGATATCGATCTTGATTAGGAATCAACTTTCAGATATCAAGAATTATAATGTTGATATAGCCATTCTAGCCTGATTTTAATCTCAAATAATATATCAAAAAATTTTTACTATTCTATTTGCCTTTAGAGAGCCCAACGAAAATCAAGGAACAAAGTAACGCGATTTGAGCTGGGCCTGTCATTGCAAACCCAAATTTAATAATAACTTTTATGCTATTCTACTTGCCTCTGAAGGGCCCAGAGAAAATCAAGGAACAAAGTGACGTGATTTGAGCTGGGCCTGACATTGCAAGCCTAAAATACATATCATATTTAATGATATCCTAAAATTAATTTTAAAGTTGATTCATTATCAGCTAGCAATACTAAAAATTTACACCTATGCACAGCATAGGTGTAAATTTTTGAATATATATAAGAAAGTCTAAAAGCTTTAGATCAAGTTTTAGTATACTAATAATTTCTCGATATTTAGTAAACCATTCTTAAGCCATTTCCTTTACATAAAGCTAGGATCACTAAATTACACCTTAGGTATAAAAAAATTGGGTTAGGTGTAAACTTTTGAATGTGTATAAGAAAGTCTAAAAGCTTTAAAACAAGTTCTAGTATACTAATAATTTCTCGATATTCAGTAAACTATTCTTAAGCCATTTCTTTTATATAAAGCTAGGGTCGCTAATTTTCACTTTAGATGTAAAAAAAATAAAATGCAAAGCTAAAAGAAGGGACCTAGCATGATTGAGCGACAAGACGCTCAGAGTTAGGTGTAAATTTTTCGTATGACTTAGTACTTTGTGTAAAATTTTAACACTAATTTACCTTTCAATAAGTACCTATGGCTCTATCCTGAAGCCTATTAATATACTGGGTCACATAATAACCACTAGCATGTTTTCACAAAGGCCAGGCCTGTCTTCTCATAAATTCGAAGCCAAAAAATATTCTGTTACAAATTTGAGAAAATCTGTCCTAGTAAATAATTAGAAATTTTTCTGATTCACTTCCTAATACAGATTTTTCTAGGGCAGATTTTCATCGATTTTTACTATAGCCTGCTTTCTTAGGGACCTAGCGTGGTTGAGCGACAAGACAATCATATTAAATAATTTATTTTAAACAAAAGTTTTTGTACTATTAATACAAATAACTGAAAGCATATACATATATCTAAAATGATTCCATCATATCCTTGATGTGGAAAGGATGACTTTAAAAAGTCTCGTGATATGACAAATCATCTTAATAGGAAGTTTAAGTGTAAGCAATTAAATCCTATTCATTGATCAACACCTAGACCAAAATCACTTACTCTAATAGACCATACCCGAGGAAAGGATCGAAGAAAGCAGAAGCCAAAAGTGGTTGTCCTAGTGTAGTTAAGCAACAAGATGCCCAGGAGGAACCTAGTGTGGTTGAGCGACAAGATACACAGAAGAAGATATTCAAGAAAGCAAGAGTACTCGAGAGAAACTTGTGAAGCAATTAAGTGATATAGAACTTCTTAAGGAGCTGGGTATGATAGAAGAAGCAGAAACAAGAAGGATGACAAAGCATATTAAAGGGTTAACTATACTAGCTAATTCAGAAAGCCATGCTCCAGAAAGTAATATATATTTTGAAGAAAAAAAAGCTGGAGATCTAAATAGACCACATAGAAATCTGCAATCATTAAGCATATGGAAAGCCATAGTTTCTAGAATAGCAAATCCAGCATATACTTTTAATGATATAATAAATCGAGAAGACTATGCTGAAGTTCCATATATGCCTCAACTAATAGCATCAGCTCGAGAAGAAATTACAAGAGTTCTTCAAACAGAGCTTAATAGAAAGGATCAGATAAAATCAGCATTAGTCGTAAACTGTAAATACTATAAAATAGAAGAGGATAAAATCACCAAAGAAAAAATATATACATTTACTGAGAAATTTCATAGAGAAGAGATACGCCCAATTCTCTCTGAAAATAGAATAAATGAACATTTAACTCATTCTGGTTCAGAAATAGATAAGAAAATCGATGAGTTTCTTGCTAATGGATCTGGTTGGCATTTAATTCGAATTGATAAGGTATTTATTGAGTTATATATATTTTGTCGAGCTCTTGAAGGATCTTATATCCCTACACCAAAAAAGCTCGCAAATATCAGGTGTACCATTAATTCTAATAATTATATGCTTATAGATCCAGAAACAAATAAACCATCTGAAAAGTATCTTCAAGGTGCATTAGGTACCTACTTCGCTTATCAGGATGGAAATACAGAACATCTTAAACGAATTTTTAGAGCTAAGAAGCTTTAACACTACTTAGATATTATTAAGTTAGATGGTATTCCCATGTCTACCCCTATTTGTCCACGTAGATTTAATAAGATTGAGGAGATGAATCCAGATATCTCTATAAATATCTGGGAGTGGAAAGAGGAATCGAGTACACCCCCCAAGTCTGTAGTTTATAGTAAAAACTATGATAGACCGCATATTATTCATTTAATGGTCCTTACAAAAATTAATAAAAATGAGGATACAGGTAAGTATGGGCAAAAGAATCATTTTCTATGGATAAAAAATCATGATGGATTAATGTTCAAAGATACAGCCCATCATGGCAAAAGATTTCTTTGCAATCAATGTACAATTAGTTTTCTAGCTAAAAAATCTAGAGATCATCATCAAAATTATTGCTTTGGATTAGGCGAAGATTGTCAAAGAGTTAAAATGCCAGTAAAGGGAGTCAATGAAGATGTATGGGATCCGTTTCTATACAAGGGAGAAAATGTCACACAAGAATTTATTCAAAGGATTGATCAAAAGTTAGTTCATATCAATGAAGTCTTAGCTGTTAAAGCTGATCAAATTGAGACTGAGAAAGACAAGAAAAACTTTGCAAAAGCAGTTAGCTGTTGGATCTGTAAAGGTAAGTTTGATATAAATATAGAAGAAATTAAGCGATTAGAAAGCAAAATAATCTTTCTTAAAGAGAAGCTAAAACCAATCAAAAAAGGGTCAGTAGAACATAATAGTATTATAACAACTATTGATAAGGCAACTAAGGCAATTGCTAATGAAAAAGCTATGACCAATAAGGTTTGGGATCACTGTCATATCACAAGTAAGTTTTGAGGATCCGCTCACAATACCTGTAATCTTAAGCTTCAAATTATACCTTAGAAAACCCCTATTATAGTAGTCTTTTATAACTTTCGAGATTATGACTCTCATTTAGTTTGTGAATCTGTTAGACGATCTGTCAATGCATATCAAATCAAAGTCATAGCTGAAACTTTTGAGCGTTATAAGTCTATGAAGGTAGGCTAGCTTAAGTATATTGATAGCATGCAGTTCATAAATACTAGTCTAGCCAATCTTACAAAGAATTTGGGTGATAACCATCCAATAACAACTCAACACTTCAAAGATTTTTCCCTGAACAAATTTCTCTAGTATGTTATAAGGGAGTTTACCCCTATAAGTATATTGATTCTCATGATAGATTCTTAGAAACAGAACTTCCTCCTATTCATGAATTTTATGATCAACTTAGTGGAAAAATTACCCAAGAAGATTATCTTCACGCTCAGAAAATGTGGAAGAAATTTGGATGCAAGAATTTAGGTGAGTATCATGATCTCTATCTTAAGATTGATGTACTTAACCTTGCAGATATATGGACACAGTTACGAAAAATGTCTATATAATATGATGGGCTTGATCCTAGTCATTATGTTTCTCTTCCATCATATTCCTAGAACGCTATGTTAAAAATGACCAGGGTAAGTATTATCCATTATCAAGAGCTTCAATATTATGTGAAATTAGGTATGGTTGTAAATGAAGTTTCAGAAATCCTATCATTCGACCAGACTAACTGGCTCGCCTCATACATAGTATTTTATACTGAAAAATATAATGAGACTAAAAAAGCTGGAAACACATTTCTGAGTGACTTCTTCAAGCTTAAGAATAATGTAATATTTGGCAAGACTATAGAAAATGTTCGCAAATATCAGGATTTAAAGCTTATGAAGATGAATAATGAGCGGGATGAAAAGGCTTTCATAAATAAGATTCACAAGTCATCCTTCAAGTATGGCAGATCACTTGGACATACATTAGTAGAAACGCATTTGGGAAAAGCTAACGTGACTCTTAACAAGCCTATCATAGTTGGAGCATCTGTTTTGGGACTTAGCAAACTTCACATGTATAAATTCTGGTATGGTTATTTGAAGGAAAAATATAGGGATGATGTTGAACTTGGCTATATGGATACAGACTCTTACATCTTCAAAACTAAGACTGAAGATATCTATAAAGAT